AATTTAAGATTCATTAAAAGTATGTGTATAATTCCACATTTAAAAACGATGATTATGACGACTTAACGCAAAGTGGCAATGGTTGACATGGCCTATCTGACCAGGTGAGCCGGACATCGTTTGTACGGTTTCTAAGTCGTTCAAGCAACTATTAAACTTGAACAAAGGATTTTTCAAACGAACATTTTTCTTTTTGAGTCGTACAAACAAGTTTTAAAATGTATTGACTATTTTAATAATCTTTAAAAAAAGTTTTTTTGAATATCGTAGACAAGATTTTATTTTTCCCTGCATTAAAAACGGCACGATTACCCCGTCGTTTATATTCCACAATTCTAAGTAGATAAATGAACCATCTTTATAAACATATAAACCGTATATATAAAAATCATTATCCAATATTCTGATTTAATCTACAATTTGGAAAAGTTATAGAGGAAGATTGCCGTGTGTGTTGTCAGTGCACATTTGCACTCGTAAGATGTTTTGGAGTACCAAAAACCAAAGAAAGAGTCATATAAACATTATAAATTTAAAAAAAATAGGCGGAAATAAAATACAATTATTAAATAACTTGGTATAAACTTTTCCTAAAACAATTAATAATTTCCCTAAAGTCACGTTGATATACAAGAAAAATTTCCCATTAAAAATTCCGTCATAACGATAAGTTCGACATAGTTTTTTCTTTCAAAGTTTCATATGTCAAAATCATTAAAACAACCAAATGATGGTTTTGCCTGAAAACCGTACATTTAAAGAAACTGGTCTCATAGAATATGAATCAGACGGTTGCTTTTCGTGCAAGTGTAATTTTGTTATTGCCCTAAACATAGAATATATACGATGTCGTTTGTGAAAGGACAAATGTTACTAAGGAAAACAAGAAGTGTATTTTATTCCTTGTATTTGTATTAGTCTGCCTTTTCATTTGTCAGTTTTATATGTTTGATCCTCTTGGCATTTGTCTACTTTCTTTTAACGTTGCTTCGATTTGTTTAATGGTGGAAAATAAGATAAGATTATAAAATTTTTCAATTGTTCTCGTTAAGAAAACATGCATGGTGTGTCGATTAATCTTTATAAGACTTCTTGGTCTCTTTTTGGTTTTACCATCAAAATATGCTTGCATTTATTTTTGGTGTAAAAATTACTTATATATCTATGAATTTTCATTCATGAATTTTTTATCGATATATTTCAGTAAAGAACGATTTGGTAGTCTTCTTAAGTCAAGAGAATATATACTTGGACTCAGAGGTATATAAGCACTGAATTTGAGAATTAGGCGAAAGAATTTATTAACTTATTGCTATTTTATATGCAGACGACACTGTAGTAAAGCAGAGCATATAGTGTTATAGTGTATAAATGCGCAAATACCTAAATACAATGTAGTTGTATTTTCTAAAGGTAGACTAACACAAAATTTATAACTTTTTAATACTTTATTCTGAAAGAGAAATTGTAAAAAAAATCAATTACTTAGGAATTCATCTTTCCGTGACTAGGAGCTTAAAGTTTGGAAAACAACATTTATAGTTAAAAAAAAAAAGCAACAAATGCAATATATGACGTCTTACGAAAGGACGGATATCGAATGTGACAATATCAAATAGATCTTGTTGATAAACTATAGTAAAACCCATTATACTATATGGCTGCGAGGTCTGAGGTTTTGAAAATAGGGATTTATTGGAAAGAATGCGGCCTAAATTTTGATTTTAACTTTAAATATACATTAAAGTAAGAATGATTTCTTGTTGGGCTAGAATATTTGCAGAAAAAATAAAATAAATGACTGAGTATGATTTGAAAATTGTTACTGATATTGTCGGCGGAGAATGGTACTTTATATTATTAAGAATACATACAAACACTTCTCCATGATTCTGATCTCACTAACATTTGGTTAGAAAAAAACGTTCCTTTTTGAACAATTGATCAAAACAACAATAAAAATTGATACTGTAAAACCAATTTAAACAACTTGGCGTATTCAAATATTCAAAAGTATTCTAAAACAGTTAGTTATCGTATCTTTCAAACTGAATGTGCTTTTGAAAATTATTTTAACATCCTAAATGAAAAAGATATGTATGTGTTTTTGAATTATAAACTTCCGATCGAAACTAGCAGATGGCAAAATGTACCAAGGGAAGACAGAGTTTGTGTTTTCTGTAATGAAAATTCCGTTGGGGATGAATACCATTAGATAATGAAATGCAAATATTCGGGAACTTAAAGGAAAACATGTTTTGACAGACAGTTTTTGTAATTCAATTGCAGTACGCTAACGTTTAAAGATTGTAGTTGAAAATTAAATTAAATAGATTATGTTCCTTAAAAAAATCATCAAAAAAGGTTAATTAACTTTATCGCAAGACCCTTCATATTCTAAATTCATAAGCTTTCTATAAAGATAAATTTTAAATCAGACCTTTAAATGTTCGTTATTTTTTGTATACGCTAAAACATAAGGAACATTACTGCATGAAAATATTGTTAATTAATATTAACAATTTCGACAGCATTGTTATATAAAAGTCAACATAATATATGAAGCCAAGTTTTCCTCCCCTTTCATTTAACATGAATCTTTAAAGCAAACAAATGACTATAATATCATTTTAATCCAGATACCTGAGAAAAGTTTCAAAAATATTGTATCTCGAAGATAATTTTATGTCTTTGCTATACTTTGAAGCTTCAATTCATTAGTAAAATCTAAGTTCACGGTAAAAAAAAACAACCTTGTAATGTACATATTTTGAACCAAGCATTGAATGTTTGCATCTTTCTATTTCAAAGTATGTGGCAACCATTTGATATTTGATATTCGCGGGAGGTTGGGGTTGGAGTGAATCCTCCCCAAGACAGGATGAAAATCAATATCAATATCCTGTCGTACGAAATGCAAGAACTAATTGTGTGTAAAAGTGTAAATAAATAAGCTTAGCTGCGGGTGAAAATGAAATTCCGTCCGTAAACAAATCCTCCTCCCCTTTTAACCGAAAATCAAATAGTCTCCCTAATTAATGTCTCGAATAGGGTGTATTATTTCAATAAGTAATATAACGTACAGTCGTGGAGAAAGGGGTTGAGTTCGTGTGGCCAATATCGTGTTATAACTCCCTCTATGCACAAAGAACAACACTGTCTTGTCTATGGTTAAGGTAATTTGTGTGTATTTATACATAAATTCCTGAATAGCAAATCTTGATTTAAAGTGCGTTTATATTTAAACAAAGATTATAAAGTTGCCTCGTACAAACATATTAATTACAATAATAAATAAAAACTCAAAATAACAGAAATCAATAGACAGTCGTATAACTTGCACAACTCTTTAATTTTCTATTGTTTATGTTGTTCATTTTATTTCTTTGGTTTTTTAAAAGTTTTTTCCTGTTTTTTTTCGGGTTTTTTTTTTCGGGTTTTTTTTTTTCTTCTTTTTTTTGGGGGGGGGGGTGGGGGGTGGGGACCAAAACGACTTTACAGAGTTCATATGGCGAAGTGGAATAAAACATACTAACTTTAGGAAATGAATTCAAAACTACAATTTGAAGTTACTTTTGATTTTTGCATAACCTGTCGTGAGCATCACATATCTTTTCTCTTGTACCGTTCCCCGAAAGAATTCTTGATGTTATACAATAAAGAATAAAGGGAAAATTCCACATGTACGTACTTGGATTAAACTTACAGGACCAGTGTATTTCACAGAATGTTTCAATCATGAATGTATACTGTACTTTTAAATCGCAGGTTAATTTTTATTACATGTTCATTTTGAAATTGTATTAAGTTATTAATAATCATATAATTTTCTTCCCTTTCGAGGATTTTGAAATACCGTATTTCAATAAAGCACTGCTATTGCACCGAGGGGAACTTTATTGCAACGACTGCGAATTCGAATGCAAAACTGTTTATATATATTATATATATATACATAATTACTCTAAATATCAGCACAACAATGTTAAATCTGCATATTTGAGGAAGCAAATTTTTGTTCTTGCTTCCGCAAATTTGCAGATTTAACATTGTTGTGCTGATATTTAGAGTAATTATGAATATAATATGTGTTTTCTGCCGTTTATCACCTTCGCTGGTGATCATATGGATGAATCTGTCGTACAGTTGTCACTTGTTTAGACGTACTTATTATATATATATATATATATATATATATATATATATATGTATGTACTCATATATGAAATGAATATTCCAATATAGATTAATTAACCCTTAATGCATCAGTTCTCGCTTAATTGCTTTCAGTAACTGTACTGTTGAAGAATGCAAGGAAATTAAATGCAATGTAGAATAAATTTTAATTCATTTAAACTTTTTTTTAATCATTTTCGAGCAATTCTCACAAAGAATCACAAAAATAAAAACATTTAAAAAAAAAAATCAAAATTTATAGGAATATTATCTTTTACGACTCCCAAAATAGATGTTTGAAAAAAAAAATCACTACTTTTGTATTTTTTAACAAATTATTGCTATTTTCATTGAGAATGTTTTTTGGGCATGATAAATATACACATTCATCTGTAAATTGGAATGCTTTAAATTGATTTCTTTTATAAAGGTTAAAGCTTAAATTTTTGAATTTTCAATGATAAACATTGGTTTTGAAAAGAAAATGATTTAAAATTTATCGTTGGGAAGAAAATCAATCACAAAGCTCTTTGAAAACAGGTTTGCATAACTCTGAAGACCAATTATGAATTTTTAAACGAGCAATATATATCGTGGATAATTTGATTTTCGATTTTGAGATCACGTTTGAAGCAATGCGATACTTTTCAATCTGTTTGAAATACTATAATACAATAACACAGCATGCATTCTTGTTAATATGTTTAAATCACGCTCGAATGACAAGAATAATAATGCTTTAACATGCGTTACAAAAATTATTTGTACACATAGTTCTATTCTCATCGAGTTGAAGCTTTATAAATTACTGTTGATCACGTGACCACAGCTGAAGGCAATACAGGACGACGTACGAATAATACATCTGAAAATAACAGTATTTTGATGACACTGTGAGATTTTTTAGTATTTCTTTTCTGGTGAGTACACTAAAATTTTAACTTTTTAATGTCGTTAACAGTTTCCTTGCGAATCATGCAAAAAATCAGTTGTTTTGATAATATTACGAATTTAATGGGTTAACTCAGACGATGAAAACCACAACAACATGGCGGCCATGTGTAATTTTCGTCTGTATTATTTAGTCCAATATGTTGAAATATAATATATTCTGATGAATGAAATATTGCACTTTTCTAAGTATTATTTAATATAATATTTATCCGTCATAATTTCGATTAAAGGTACATTAATTAATTGTAAAAGTATACAAATTTTAATTAATTTATCAGCTATATGTAAATTTACTGGCACTCTGCCACTAGGTAGCTCCGCCCACTAGAAGCAGACGATATGTTTCATGCGGCGAGCTATTTACCGACATTGTTGCAAACATTTTGGTGATACATTGATAATGCATTTTACTTTGTAATTTGCACCAAATGTGAAGGCTATTGATAAAAATATTTCAAGGACTGCACAATATACGTGTGAAACTCACACAGGAAGATAGATTTTATGTGTGTGGGATCAATCAGAACGAACAGAGATAAAATTGTCTGATCACCACACGCAGTGTTCATCAATCAAAACCTGTCATGTGATCAAGGTAGTACAAAATATCGGATTAAAGAAGAATAATTGTAATAAATCACAGAGGATTAATTAAAAATCCCCTTGTCATTTATTTATTCATATTTGAAGGAAAGCATGTAGTAGCTGTATGAAGTTTAATTTATGAGAATTTAGCTTCTTATTTTAAAAATAATTTTGTTCAATGCATTGTCAAACCATATAATTTTAAAATGAAAGAAAATGTAAAAGGTGAATAAAAAATAAGCATGAATTATTAATTAGATAATTACATATGAAGTTTAAAAAATTGCCTACTAAGTTAATGAGCACCCAGTACACATTAAATAAAAAATGCATTAAAAATAAGATGACCAGTAAAATACAAATTTTTGTGAAGTGAACTGCAAAATGCTGATTTGTATCTACAAATGATTTAATTGTGCATAACGCACTACAACTTATAGAAATAAAGCAAGGAAGTATGTGTACTTTATCAGGCGATCATTTTACAGAATATAGGAAAACACATTTGTAAATTCCCTCTTGCAGCACGTAGACAGAAGGCTTCGCAATTAGATTGATCAAACTTTAGTTCGTTGTTGCAAGAGAGAAGTTATTGATTTTCTGGCAATACAGGAACTTTTCTTACAGAGATGCTGCTGTTATTTTCTGTATCCATAGAGAACTTACACATTTCCGTCATTAAATGAAATACGCGTGGGTATTTTTAAGTGTAGTTTTGCATGTGATGTCTAAATGTTACAGGGAAATCATACAATATATCTTTTTTGATATTTGTCATACTTGTTATGATTTATGATACGGAACTACAAGTGCATGACGTAAAACAAGATTATATTTATGTATTCCAAAAACACGCATGCACGCTGAAGCTTTATCGCATTTATAGTCAAATTAATTTAATCAGTGACGTGGATGTTGATGTTTTATTATAAGGACGAAACGTTTATACAGCTTTTATAGTTTTAAGCTATTTGTACGAAGTCAACTGGGAATAGGCAAAATGTCACAACTTAAGAAGTGCTATATTTAGTTTCTTATTCTAGAATTCATGAAATAATGACGGTACAGGCGAATGTATAAATTTCGTATACAAATTTTCTTAAATGATTGGAAAACCGTTGCGATTTTTTCCCTCGAAAGTAATACTGAGAATATAATTGGAAATTCTTTTTCCTAAATTTTAAGTAATAATGAGAGAATGAAAAATAATTACTTTGACGAAGTTTATAAAAACGACATGAAATATATATAGGACCCGAAACGACTGGATTTACCGTATAAAATATTTAGTTTGTTCTTTCTTTTCAAACAAAAGCAGTTTTAAATTACGAACCATGATAATGTGCATAAAATTAGATGCTATTTTTTGTTACTCAGTGAAAATACTCAGTGCGTGAAGAATAATTCTCTATCCAATACATTTTTCTTGCAATCCTATAAATATAAAATAATTAAAATGTTACAATTGTTTAATTGAGAATTACATGGATTTATAACTCATCAATGTTAAAGACTTAAAAAGTAAATGTCACACACTCATCTGTTAATGGTAAGTGACGTTCGCTGTAGACAAATCATAGTAAAACATTAACTTGTTCGTGTGAATCCTGAAATCAATTGGATGATAAACGATGGGGATTTTTGTGTTCAAGCGAAGGTATACTACACGTGTGTTAACAAATTGTTATAATATCAGATGAGATATAAAAACAAATATATGTTAAAATTCTTCAAGTACGGATTAGAAGAATTATCTTAAATTAATTGGATTGTCATTATTTCCGAAACTGTGATGACGTCTTTTAACCTGTACAAACAAGGACTGTTCGCATCGACATCTAAATACACAACACATTTGACTTCAGTGGAATTTGTATTGTGAAATTGAGATAAAATAACGGCAAACCGGTTTAACGTTGGCGTTTCGAAGTCGGAGTGCAATTGTTTTGTATGCTGAATCAGCAAAATATAAGTCAAAAGTTGAGTCTCGCAGTTTGAATGTCGGCATTTTATGAAAATGGACCTGTTTAATTATTAAAAAAAAAATCTGTTAAAAAAGTTCATGCATTAATAATTCTGATATGCGTTTTTAGTTTCATTAACGTGCAAAATTATATCGGTACACCAAAAATGGCTTTTCTAAAATGACTGCATGCATAGCATTGTGAAGTTGCTCTTACTTGAGATCGCGTTTGTTAATATAGCGTAAAATATAACAATGTACTATAATAGCCTTTAACCCATACATGGATGTGATAGACATTTATGTAAATTGGAACGTGTATTATACAACATATTAATTACAACTGCAAATTTTTGTGTTTTTTTAACCTCACTGAATAAACGATACATAACATTGATTCTCATGGAAAAAATATCACGATAATATTAATAATGGTATATCCGGAAGAACAAGTAATAGGACGAAAAGGTGTACGTTCACATACCATAGCTAGGGATGTCGTAAATTTGTCATCTCGTGCAGAATTTGTTTTGAATCCAAGACGTTTAATTATAAGCAGAGTAATCTGGTTGGGCAAAATCCACTTAAGATTCATTTCACAGAAGGAAATATCGTTTTTTCAACGTTTTTATATTTTTTCACCTAATGAACTTCACAAGGCCTTACTAACACGATAGGTATAAATTAGTAAACTACAACACATACGATATAGAGTCAACAATAACTTCTTAGCGAGATATGTAAAAAAGTCTTTTCATATGAATTTTTGAATAGAAACAAACTGGATTTGGGAAAGTTCCTGAAATCAGTACGTTGGTTAATTCATAAGCACAATTCCTACTGGTTTATTGATTGCATAGTTTACGTTAATGTACTTCGCGCCTCATTTTACATCATAACGTACTGTATATACCCCACAAATCGTTTTTAAAATGAACGAACAATAACGGATAAGTAAATTATATTTGACTGCACTAAGGGGTATCTCAAAAAATTAATACTTGTGTCTTGGTTGGGGTATTTAGATTATAAACGTTTTGGATTACAGTGAATTTGAACAAACCTGAAATAATTAAAAGTATCAAGAAACTATTAGTTTAATTTTTAACAAACAAGGTTTTGATTTTGTATATAAAGTATTAAATTTCTTGCAAGTCATTTGCTTATTCAATAGTGTGTAAGGGGACATGACATTAAGATACCTTTTTGTTAATGTTAAAAATTAGCAAGAAATTATGATTTTACATATTTGTCCGTGTTTTTCTACAAGTATTCCCTAGGTATAGAAATTTCGTTAGAGTAATCACTGTCTCTGTTGTTTTTATGTAGAATTGTATTCCGTGGATATTAGAATTCATTCAGAACTTGCTGACTTGCTGACTGAGAGCGTATTTACATGAATCTGAATTCTTTGTTAGGGTTCGTTTCTCAATCTTTGTTTTTTATGTAGTGGTTTGTGGACTGCTGTTTGTCCGTTCATCTCTTTTTTGTTATGTCAATGCTATCTGTTTTTCATCGGTTTGTGTTAGTTTATTGTCCCCTTGGTACCTTTTCGCTTGTTTTACCAGGTTTGAGGAACTCGCAACTATCATAAAAAACGCACACTGAACAACCTTTGAATATATCTCGTTTTGACCACCTTGTGTTGGGGAGTTGCTGTTTCATTGACGTTGACCCAACATCCCTTTTTATTCGTTGAAACTTTTGAATTGAATGCTACACTTTGTTGTCATATTAGGCTGTAAAAGCGTTGACCAAAGCACAGGAGTTGTGCACGGTAAACAGTTTTACAACCCTATGAAATTGACTGCTTTCCAATCAAAAGTATATACATGTATATATATGCAATATTTATGAAAAATCTATGAAATGTAATTATAAACTTATAAAAAGCAGTATTTATACAAAATCTTATGTTCACTGTTTTATAGTGAAATTGTTTCTCTTTTCGTAGTCTTTTTTGTTTTCCACGGGTTGTCAGTTTCTCTCGACTTATATGCGTTCGAATAACCTCTTAGTATCTTCCGCCTCCTTTTATTTAAAATGAAAGACCAGACGAAAACACAAACGCACATGTGTGCATATATATACACTTTCTCTCTCACACACATATATATTATATCGTTTGATATGACTTTCTGATTAATTAATGATATCCATTTCATGCTATAATCCTTATTTCAGTAAGTACTTTCTTAGTGACCTTGAAAATATGGATACTGCAGAGATTATTCTTAAATTAAAACGGAATAAAAACTTGTAGCTATAGGATCTATAACAAAAGGTGATTTCTGCTTTTCATCTGCCAAGCAATCTTCTAGTATTAGATACATCTATGAGGGCGTTTGCCCGATTTGGTGTATCTAATTTACACCAAGATGTTGTTGTTTTATGTAAAATGATAGTTTTCAATAATTT